TTTTTGTTTTTAAATCCAAGCTATTGTGACACCAGATGTAATTGGTGGCACTGACTGGGGAAATGGGCACAGTATGCACTGTGAGCCTGACACAGAAGCTGGCAGCAGTGGCAGACAACTAAGTGCACTTACATTACATAGAAAAAAAAAATCAAAAAAAAGCATACCCTTATCCCTAACCTAGCTATGCTTTTCCCTATCTTATGAACAGCAGCTACACTTTCCCTCCTCTTACTAAGCATGCAGCTTGAGAATGAATCTAAAATGGATGCCTTCCAGTAGGTGGGAGGGTCTGCTAGGGAGGCTGTGCTGCTAATTGGCTGGAATGTGTCTGCTGACTGTGAGGTACAGGGTCAAAGTTTACTCAATGATGACGAATAGGGGGCGGGTCGAACCGCGCATATGTTCGCCCGCCGTGGCGAACGCGAACATGCTATGTTCGCCAGGAACCGTTCGCGGCGAACCGTTCGGTACATCACTAGTGAACAAGAGCGGCAGGCTACTAGCGCAAATGATAAGAGGACAACAAACAAGAGCCCAGGTACCAACACTACGAACCACAAGAGGACACCTCACCCAATTCCCAGAAGAAATAGCCGAGGAGTTCCGCGCATACTACACGACCCTATACAATATCCACGCGGACCGACCTAACGAGCTACAGGACACTACCGCCAGAGAAACAGAACAATATCTACAAGGATTCCAACCAGAGGCGCTAACGAGAGAAGAAGCAGAAGCATTGGAAGCCCCGATATCTGAGGAGGAGGTCAGGCAAGCAATTAAGGGATCTAAGAATGGCAAAGCACCCGGCCCAGACGGATTCCCGGCCGGGTACTATAAGAAGTTTAGTGACATCCTGATCCCCAGACTTACGGCCGCGCTGAACCAACTGCAGGAAGGAGGCGGACTACACACAGAGACAATGGCCGCCACCATCACCGTCATACCCAAACCGGGTAAAAACCCAGAATGCTGCAGCAATTATCGCCCCATCTCACTCCTCAACACGGACGTCAAGCTATTCTCCAAAATCATAGCAAATAGACTACAACCCTAACTCCCGAGACTGATCCACCCAGACCAAACGGGCTTCATACCGGGGAGAGAAGCGAGAGACTGCACCCTGAGGACGTTCACTATTCAGCACCTGGCACAAAAGGAAAACAAGAACATGCTATTACTCTCCACAGACGCAGAAAAAGCGTTCGATCGGGTAAAATGGCACTTTATGATGGCAACTCTCGCCAAGATAGGGCTGGGGAAAGGGATGCTCGCGTGGATAGAAACCCTATATCGCAACCCGAACGCAAGAATACGGGTCAATGGAGCACTCACAACTAGCTTCAATATCCACAATGGCACCAGACAGGGATGCCCCCTATCCCCCCTCCTATTCGCCCTCACCCTAGAGCCTTTCTTAGATAAGATCCGGCAAACGCCCACCATCCAAGGACTCCGGTATAAAGACCAGGAACACAAGGTGGCGGCCTACGCCGACGACATGCTCTTCTACATTAACAACCCAACGAACACACTACCAGTATTAATGGAGGAATTCGAAAGATATGGCCGGGTGTCAGGGCTCAAATTGAATCACACAAAATGCAAAATATTACAAGTCTCGACCCTGTCATCGGACTGGAACCAGATCAAACGGACCTATCCCTTCACATGCTGCGAAGACCAGATGAAGTACCTTGGCATATGGATCCCATGCAAACCATCAGAACTATACTCGAGGAACTACACCCCGCTCCTTCAACAACTTCAAAGAGATCTGAAGACGTGGAACCATGAATACATCTCCTGGCAAGGGCGAATAGCGGTAGTAAAAATGAACATTCTGCCAAGACTCCTGTACTATTTTAACACCATACCGTGGCACATACCACCGGATTTCTTCGCGACAATTAAATCTGCGATAAGCAGTTACGTCTGGAAAGGATGCCAGGCGAGGCTCAGCCACGATAAACTATGCCTACCCAAAGCATGGGGTGGACTAGCACTGCCCGATGTGCGAAAATACTACCAGGCTACGGTCCTACAGAGGATCAGAGACTGGCTTACAGCCCCGAACCACAAAAGATGGGCAGACCTGGACAGGGTAAGCATGCAAGGTACTCTACCCTCACTAGTATGGTACCAAGCCAGGGGTGAACCACCGAATACGAATAGGACTTCACCAGTCACACAAACACTGAAAACATGGGCTATAATGAGAAAGGAAGCCTCTATCTCCCCGCAACCGAGCCTGTTAATCCCACTAACACATAACAGGGCCTTGGGTGGCGGCCTGCCGAGGAGCGCTTGGCCAGAATCTAATGGAGACGAATATCTCCCTCTGAAGGAAGCGCTACACAATGCAGGACTAAAGAACATACAGGAATGGACCGGGGCCGAGACCCCCACACACATGCACAGGTTCCGGTACGCTCAACTCGGGCATTTCTATTATAACATCCCGAATAGACAGGCAGTACACAGGGACACAACATGGTTCGAAAACCTGTACGTCAACACCCCTGAGGCGGATGGGAGAGTCTCCATAATATACCAAAGAATACTGCTGGGAGACCGGGTCAGGAATACAGCATTTAAAGGCCGGTGGGAAGACCTCACAGGCAGGACCTACAGCGACGCGCAATGGGAACAGATCCTCATACTACAACATAAGAGCTCGATCAGCTCAAAATACCAGGAGGCCAATTTTAAACTACTATCCCACTGGTACCGAACACCTGCATTGCTACACAGGATATTCCCAGGAACCCCTGACACATGCTGGAGATGTGAAACCCACACGGGTACAGTACAACATATATGGTGGGACTGCATTAAAATACAACCATACTGGGAACAAATCCGACAAGAACTAAACTCGATTCTAAGCGACACACCAGACCTTAGCATAGAAGCCGCCCTGCTCCACTTCACGAACCAATCCGTGGCACAATACAAGAGATCAATCCTAAGACACCTACTCAATGCAGCTAAAGCCCTAATTCCAACGATGTGGAAAAGCACACAACCACCCACGATTGCACAATGGCAACAGAAAGTCGAGGAAATCCACACAGCGGAAGCAAAGATCGCGGACCTACAAGGGAGAAGCACCAAACATGTCGACTTATGGAGGCCTTGGTACATGTACCTAACACACACACGAACACAGGGGGAGGAGGGAGACGTAGGAGCCACCGAGACACACACAACCAACGTATAATCTACGCAAGCATCCCCTCCCCCGGGGCCCCTGCACCCCACTCTCCCCCTCCCCCTCCCCTCCTTCCTTCTCTTCCTCTTCTTCTTCTCTTTCTCTCCCCCGTTAACTAGACTTGCCTTGGGGCCCGGGCGGTGGCGGCTAAGGCCCACAGGTCCTACCCTTGGCCTCCTACTGAGACAAAACTATGACAGCACTGAATAAGACCAGACGCATGAAAGGACACAGGGCCCTTCCACGCCACCGCGCCCACGATAAAGTAAACGCTGGGCCATGCAATACACCACTCACAAACACCCTAATCCGGGCCAAAGACGACGAAGCCCAATCTGGACATACAAAGACCAAAAGGACCTTAAGCACTAACCCTGCCCACCCATAGACTGATGACACGAGAAACACAACCGCACGGACAAATACTAGGACTAAGACGATAGCAAACTAAGAAGCACAACTCTAGACCTAACTAGAAGGGTAATTAATACACACCTCTGTAGTTTGCCCACTATAACGGTAACTCCTACAGCCAATTATCATAAGCAATGGTATGGGGGACCTACGATCTCACTTCTGAAAGATATGATCATATGATACATCTTGCCACGAGACCTGCGAGTCTCCCTACCATTGAAGCTTACACAGAGATCTGCATATCTCAATGTACATTAAGCACCTATAAGTATACGAAACCTGCGAGTTTCATAATGTATCTTAACTTATTGCATGCTATGAACATGAAAAACCCATAATAAAGAAATTTACAAAAAAAAAATAAATCATCATAAAGCACTTGCCAGCTGGCATAAAACCAAACAATGTTATCAGGGGTGTGCGACAGTAAAGTGGTGGCATTCTGTAAAACCTCTTTGACAAATAAACTTTTTGCTGAGTTAGAAGGTCTTGCTAATATGCAGGAAAAAGGATGTTGCAAATGAGTGTCCATGGTAAATAATCAGTAACCAAATGGGAGAGTGGTAAAGTCGTCAACCAAAAGTTTGTTAGTATATACATACTTTTGTGTTTTATGTAGCGGCCACATCTCCATCTGCCAACGGAGTTTATTTCTGGCAATGTCTGTCTGTCGTACCACTATCTTGCACCCAGGGTCTGGGTGCAAGGTGTAATCCAACACCAGGTCTTTTAAACTGTCAAAGTTAATCAACCAGGTGTTGCTGGCATGAAGCATTATGCCTTTCACCTTTAGAGATGTTTTATCCATCGATAGTTTGAAGCCACAAGTCTTGGGACCTGCAGATACAAACTCTGTAATGTGAGTGTCACAGGTTATTTCACTAGTCAATTTGCCTAGATAGTCCCCAAGAGATGGATTACATTCACCCTCTGTACTGATAAAAATAACTGAGTCAGTGTCATGGTAGAGACACGTCTCATTAAGATGGTCTAAAACATTATACAGTTCAAGTCATGCATAGGCAGTAGTAAGAAATAAGGTTACTGGTATTGCAAGACAGACTGTGACAACCCTGTGTATACTTCCAACTGAGCATGCCACAAATATCGAACCTCCTCATTATGTTCGCAACATTTTGTTTGGTTATTGGCTGTACATGTGCGACATAATTGGAACATAAAAAGATACAAAAAATAGTGTAATATGTTATAAATAGGTACTATGTACAATTAATCTATCGATGGTAACACTCACAAGCATGGAGCCAAATAAAGGTGGCATGAGCCGCAAGGAGCAGGTGTGAAGTGTATGTTGTGGCTTTCTGTGCGTGATGTATAAGGCTGTGTAATGTGTGTATAGCTGTCACTGTCTGCATGTGGGTAGCTGTAAGTGGTATTTGTAGCAGTGTGAGTAGCTGTGAGTGATAGGTTTGGGCTGCTGTGAGTGTTATGTGTGGCGATGTGTGGAAACTGAGTGAAATACAAAAAGATCGGGTTGACACTTATCTTACCTCCTGGAGAATCCACCATACCAAAACCCCCTAATGCACATTCTAATGCTGCTGAAGTCTCTGATGTTTCAGACACTTTATTTTGTGAAGTGATTAATAATGTAAAAGCCTGCTAGAAAAAAAATTGCTGAATTGTTGTCTAGTAGAAAGTCTCAATTCAAGCATATTACCGTTTGGAACAATAAGGATGAATGTGTTTACAAAAACATTGCAGTACCGGGATCAAATATACTCAACTTGGTCTGTGGTGTTACTCAGAGTCACAATGTTGTGCTGCGTAAATTACCCCACGGCTGGGATATTTTTCATAAGGCAGACTCAGATCTCAAAAATACTTTTTCTCAGGGTACGCCATTAATGGTTATTTAAAAGACAAGTCAGCAGAGGTCTAGCAAACCCCAACAGAGAGGCAATAAAACCTCCAGACTGTTAACCAACTTCTTTTACTTACTAAAAGATATTTTTTGGTGATAAAGATATCTTACCTTTAGAGGTATTAAGGCGAAACTATAGTGTCAGGAAAACAAAGTTGTTGAAAGCAAGGGCCAAATTCGCATAGAAAAGCAATAG